CATTTCTTGATCTTAACCTGTATTAGGTAAATGACTACTCGATAAGGTACTATAAGTGACTACCTACTAAGTTCATGCTTCTCAAGTTTTTATGCATCTTTTAATGGTTAGTAAATTGCCTCAGCAACAAAAACCATAAATATTAGGTCTCCTCTCCCTGCACCAAGATAAATGCCTACTTTCCTTGTGAGATCCCTGGACCCTGAGAGGAATTTCAGTTACTTCATACATTTTTCTGATGCTTTCAGTCTATCCCAAAGCCTTTAAGTCCAATTATCCCATCTTGGCTATTTTCCTTGAACCACCTGGCATTTCTGGTAGTGGAAGATTCCCTTTTATGATTTTGGGCTTACATATTATGTTTTATCCAACAAATTTGTCTGTGCATATAGAAGGATGGGAATTGGGGAAAGGGCCAGATTTTGACATTAACTGTCTTGCAGACTGGAAGTCTAGACATGTAACTTTTTTCCATAATAAAGAAGTTTTCCTAAGGAACTATGACATGTTTTTCTTTTCTATTGTTCTTAACTAAAATATAAGTTCTTCTAAAGAGTCACAAGGCCGTGTGTTCTGTTTAACAGGCTGCAGGACGACATGAATCTTTAACAAGTTGGAACCTGGCAAAGAAAGCAAAGTGGCGTGAAGAAGCTGCAATGGCTGCACAGGCTAAAATGAAATGATAGTCTAAGTGGCCATTACTATCATCAGCAACAATAAATGATAGGTAAAACAATATATTTAAGAAATATTTGCTATGATTTTACTATCCACAAGTATAAGACCTTTCTAAAATATTACCAAACTATATATAACTTGGTAAGTTTTACACGGTGAATATGTCTGCATCAACTACCCAGGTCAAAGGCAGAAACTAATGAAATAAATTTTTAAAAAGACCTAGATGATCACCATAGTCAAATTTGGCAAGTGTCATTGAGATAAACAAGAAAATACATTGGAAATGAGAAAAGGGAGCAAAGCTCATTCCATACAGTTTGCTAAAAGATCTTTAAAGAGCCAAGTATGGTGATGTACAGTTGTAATTCTATTGGTTAAGAGGCTGAGACAGTAAGGTGGTAAGGTTGGGGCTGGGGCTACATTGTAAGTTCAAACCTAGCCTCAGATATATAGTCTGTCTAGAAGAAAAGTATGGACTGGAAAGCCATTTTTTACCACCAAAATAGAACAGTAAGGACTAGTCTGAAACAACTAAACTACAGATAAAAATAAGAAACAAACAGCAGATGTCAGGTGTGGGTAGTGGTTTGTGAAATAAAAGAAACAAATTAGTTGAGCTCTAAGGTTGTTCATTTTGTTTCCTTGGATGTTTGAGGGCTGCAGGTGATACAAAGGAAACTTTGGAGGCCTGCATTGTGGGGAGATGGAGTCTTCAGCTAAGGTGACCACATGGTTATTACCCAAGACTATTCCTCAGAGAAGTGGCAAGTTTTTAGAGTTCAAAGATGGCTGTAATAGTTTTATTTCTGCCAGCTCAGCAGAAATACCTTGTAGCTCAAGGTTATCAGTGCTCAGAATGGGAGGTGTATCTGGAAAATGCTGCTTAGTAACTTCCTCACAAAGGTTAATAGTGTAAAAGAATAATTTAAATGTGGGTCCTAACAGAGTTAAAAACCAAGCACCAGGTTGATTCTCCATGTCTTAACTATTGTGAATAGTAAGAAAAAACAGGAAAGCCACTATCTCTTTGGTATGATGATTGTTGGGGTTGTTTTCTTTTGGTGCCGGTCCTGAGGCTCAAACTCAAGGCCTGGGTGCTGTCCCTGAGCTTTTGTGCTTAAGGATAATGCTCTACCACATGAGCCATTGTTCCACCAGCTTTTTTTGGTAGTTAACTGTAAATAATTGTCTTGCAGATTCTTCTCTGCCAGGGCTGGCTTTGAATCTTTTTTTTTTTTTTTAACTTTCTATTATCTTTTTGTTTTTTTCTTTTTGCTTATGTGGTGCTGAGGAATCGAACCCAGGGCCTCATGCATGCAAGGCAAGTGCTCTACCACTGAGCCACCTTCCCAGCCCAACTTTTTTTAATTGTAAAAATACTGTACAGAGGGGTTTCAGTTATATGAGCAAGGTAATGAGTACATTTCCTATCCAGCATTGTTGCTTCCTCCTTGGCTTTGAATCTTGATCCTCAGATCTCAGACTTCTGAGCAGCTAGGATTATAGGCATGATCCACCAGTTCCTGGCTGGTATAATTTTGTATCCTTAGAATACATCTCAAGTGGGCTTCAATATCATTAGCACTCAGAGAAATACAAATTAAAACCATGATAAATATCAAGTTACAATGGCTTTTTTTGTTGTCAGTTGTGGGGTTTCAACTCAAGGTTTGGGTGCTGTCCTGGAGCTTTTTAACTCAAGGCTAGCACTCTTAACCACTTTGAGCCACAGCACCACTCCCAATTTTCTGGTGGCCAATTAGAGGGAAAAGTCTCAAAGACCTTCCTGCTTGGGGTAGCTCTGAACTGCAATCTTCAGATCTCAACCTCCTTGAGCAACTAGGACTAGGCCAAAATAATAAATGTTGCAGAGGATGTAGGAAAAAGAAAACAATATACTGTTGGTGGCAATATAAACTATAATTACTGCCGTGCTGAAGAATATAAAAGCACCTCAAAACATTGAAAATAGATGAATCATAAAGGTCTTGCTTTTTTTGGTTTTTGTCAGACGTGGGGCTTGAACTCTGGGCCTAGGCGCTGTCTCTCAGCTCTTCAGCTCAAGGCTAGCGCTACCACTTGAGCCACAGCTCCACTTCTGCTTTTTTTTTTTAAATCTTACAATTTAGTCTTTAAATTATAAATTGATGTGGTTGAGGTTAGGTCTATAAGATCTACTATCTTAGCCAGGCTCACGCCTGTAATCCTAGCTACCTAGGAGGCTGAGAACTGAGGATCACGGTTCAAAGCCAGCCCGGGCAGGAAAGACCATGAGATTCCCATCTCCAATAAACCACTAGAAAACCAGAAGTGGCTCTGTGGCTCAAGCAGTTGAGCACTCGCCTTGAGCTGAAGAGCTGAGGGACAGTGCCTAAGCCCAGAGTTCAAGCCCCATAACCGCCCCCCCCCAAAAAACAGATCTACTATCTTGTCACTGTTGCTTCTGTTCTCTTCCTTTTCCTTTTCTTCTCTCTCTTTTTTTTTTGGTTGCACTGTTCCTTTCTCTGAATGTTTTTTGGATTAACCAACTATGTTTTGATTCTGTGTATCTCCTTTGTTAGTTTTATATAGATAAAATGCTAACCAATAACAGCCATTTAGTTTTGCTCCCTGTTAGCAAAACACATTAAGTGAAATCAAATGAAATAGACACATTCATATAAATGCAACTGTAAAATAATATTTTATTATTTTTAATATAGGGCTGTAATATTTTATAATATTGCATAATTCTTGTGTTTATTTAGTTAGGTAACAATATCCTCCCTTTACCTTACTTCCCAATCAAAATGTAAAGAAATGCTACCATTTTAGAGCCCTATTATATTGCATTTATCATGTCACATTTCATAAAATAGTAGTACTACCAATTAGAATGAATATTCGATCTCAGTTTCACTATTAAGCGAGTAGTACACTAAACTTAGAACAGTACCAAACTTCATTAAGATTTATATTTCCTTTTTCCGTTATGCTCTTTCCTATAAGAAAAAGTCAAAGGTAATAAATGCTTCTTTTAGTCCTCCCCATAAATCAATCTTTAACTGCAAACAGGTTTTTATCATTACCAAACACTATTCTTTCTCTGCCAGTAATTTATTCCTGTTTTTTTTGTTTGTGTGTGTTCCAGTGCTACAAGTGAATAAATGACGCTAAAACTCAAGTTAGTGACATTTTGAAAACAGGCCAATGAGTGGAGTGCTCATAAATGAGTAAGCAAGCATAGTTCATAGATTAACTAGTAGAACTTCAAATACCAAATGTAATTAAATGAAATGAACTTTCCAGTATTGTCTTGATATTTACATTAATGCCAATACATTCCTCTTTATAATACATTCTGATTTGATTTGGCAGTTTCTTTCAGATGTACATACCATAAGTCTTAGGAAAGCAAATTATTCTTTTCACAAGGGACAATAAAGATTAATAAAACAAATTATGAAGCTGTGTGTGTTTTGTGCTGGTCTTGTGGACTCAGGATCTTGCTGCTGCTATTCCTGAGCTTTTTTGCTGAAGGCTACATTCTACCATTTGAGTCACAGCTCCACTTCTGGCTTTTGTAGTGATTAATTGGAGATAACAGTCTCACACCCCACCCCGCCCCTCGTGGAGGAGGGGTGGGTGGAGTTGTTGGCTTCAAACCTTGATCCTGAGATCTCAGCTTCCTGAGTAGCTAGGATTACAGGCATGAGCCACTGACACCCAGCTAAATTTTGGAGCATTTTTAATGGCACACTTGAAAACATTGGTCACATTTTTTATAATTTTTAAAGTATCCCAATTAGTCATAATCTAATAAATCATCACCAGACTTAGACTTTGTCCAGGACCTTTGCATTCAAATCTAATTAAATTAATTATTCAAGTAATAGATAAAGTAAATATAAATATTTAAGTTTTTGAGACAGGGCCATATTTTAACTTAGAAATACAACACTTGTTAGTGGCAAATTTTGAAACCTTCCTTGGAGACATTCTATGTGTACCTGCATGTGCATACATATACATTAAGTTTTATAAGAACTATGTTTTGAAAGTTTGGGTTCACAGATTTATTATAGTGACTATGGGGTCCTCAAAAGCAGGCACAGCTGGCTAGTTTGTGAATTATGCTGTAATATCAAGTTCAACTGATTACAAAGAATAGAATACCCTGTCACCTGATACTTAGAACGTCCAACACCATAGTATATATCTGATAGCTTCACTATCAATTCAGTAATTTTTAATATCATTACCCTGTTTTTTTAATATATATAATGCAAAAGAAATACTTTTTATACTCAACAATGTAATTTCTACTACAATAAAAAGGACACAGACACAATCCTCTTTTTTGCAGTATAAAAGGGACTGGCAGATGAAGTCAGCATTATAGACACCACTGAACCTGGATTTTATAGTTGCAGATTTTAAGTGCCTACTCAAAGTTTAACATGACACATAATTTACAGAGCATAATTCTATTTTAAAGTATTCCTATATATACTCTCATATCATGCCTCTGATTTCCAGCAGAAACATAAATGCTATCATAAATGAAATCTTTCTTTACAGAATAAACTATGAGTCATATCAAAATGTTTTAATTCCCATCTAAAACAAGCTGTAAATTAGATTTTAAGTAAGAATTCTAGGTATATAATTGGAAATGTAAATAATCTGCATGTAACTATAAATTAAAAGATTGAGTTGAACAGTACCACAGCTACTTAGAAAATTCTACCACGCACAGTACCAGGAGAGTAACAAAGACATACATACATATGTGTAAATATATATATAACTTTTCTATTGAAACCTTTTAGATTTTTATAGTTTGAAGAGGTTTTTGCTGTTAATTCATAAAACACACACACATATATATATAACCAATCTGATACAAATGCAATCTAACATATGATTCATAACAAGCAGCAGTGTGGCCCTCTGAGTTATTACCAAAAGAAAACATTTCTAATATAGATTTCTATTAAAGAATCTTTAGCAATTTTCATTAATATCATCACTTACTGAGTCCAAACATTAAATGCTTTTAATAAAATTTAATACACAATAACGTGACTTCTTCAGGATAGTTTTGTCACTCATGTAACTTAAGTTCACATTATACACAGAACAAAATTTTTCAATTACTGCTCTGAAAAAAATCAGAGATATAGGTACAGTATTTTAGGTATGCAGCACTACTTTAGATTCATGAGAGCAAGCATCTGTCATGATTTTCTTCAAAAGGAAGACTGTAAAAATAATAAAACACTTTCAAAATGGTAGCATATTTGGTGAAAAATAGAAAATATACTAATATAATAGCATTTACATGTTAAAAACACAATTGTTTTGTAGTTTTAATGTGTTCAACATGAAGAACAGCTTCTCTCTTTACAATTGCCACATTTAACAGTTATCAGTACAACTGATTCTTCTGTTTTATAAATTTTGCAGATTTTCTGTTGTAATCATTTTTTGCAAAGTACAATCTACAGCACAGTGATTTAGAATTAAAGGTAATATTTTCACATTTTAATTCAGCTTTTACAATGCTTCGGAAGCTTTTGTTTTTATTTTTGCTTCAAGGTAAGAGGTAGATTTGGTAGATTGGGCATGTCAGACTACTGCCAAAAATGCAATTATTGACAGCTAATCTGTTATTGTGCAGTTTCCAAGAATACTTGAAAAAAATTCAGAACCATTATGTAATACTTCATCAAAATTCTCCTATTCAAGCTTTAGTTAAATAATTGCATAATGTGTTTAATCGTTCACAAAGATATAAAAATCCAAATAACAAAAGGCAGATATAGCCATAACAAAACAAATTACCAAGAAACAAACAAAGAACAAAAACGTATAAGCAAAGGTTGCATCTGAATGGAAACTTTTGTTTCATTTTGCTTGTAAAAGTGCATCAGATTCATTCTTTTCCTCCATGTTCTGACACTGGCAACATGGAAGAGATCCTAAGCTACCTTTTAGGCATTACTTTTTAATGGTCCATCAAGTTAAAGTTGAAAACCTTCCATTGGTGCTTCCTGCTGCTGAAAAACAAATTGTTGCTGGTTTTCATCCACCTGAGGTACAATGCTGGAGTCATCATCTTCTACACCAAAATAATGTTCAATCAGATCAAAAGCTTTCTGGTAAATTTCCTGGTTTTCATGGCTTTGCAGAAACTCAATTTTATCCAGTCCTATTATAGAAACATAATATATAAAAACACAGTATTAGTTTTGATAACATTTAAATCAAAATAATAAATCAACAGCATCCATCTACTCCACTGGCAATAGGACTATTTTCAATTAATGTCCACATCAACTGCCAATCTATGCCTTATTCTTTAACAATGAGAGTCTGGGGAAATAGGATGCGAAGAGGATCACAGTATTTGAGGAATAGGAACAGGAACACCAACCACCCTGCTAGGACCTCCACAGGTCCTTTCCAAAGTAATTACATTAAAAAAGAAAGCACAACAAAAGAAAGTGACAAAACTTCAATGAACACATCAAAAGCTGAGCTGAAGGTTCTTAATAAATGCAAATCATTTGCAAACCCATGACATCTTTTCACTACAACATACTATGTATGGCTAACTGCTACACAACTTATCAAAAATGCAATCTATAAATGAAATGGAGAAACTTCATTCCGACGTGAAAGGCCTAGTGAAAGGCCCTGAGTTCAAACACCAGCACTGCATGAATTAGTCAATCAATCAATCTACATATATCTGAGTAATGATAAGGTACTTTTTCATTTAAAAGTAAGTCATTTACAATAAATCATTTATAGAAGAAAGAGTAAGCAAAGTAGTCACATCTATACAATAGAATGCCACAAAATAGTAATAGAATTTGGGATCAAAATAGTAGCCATAATAAGGAAATATCTTAAATTGGTAATTACTATCCTGTGTTTATATAGTGTTTTAATCAGTAATATATAACGCAAAATAAAGGCAATGCGATTTTTCTGGGCTTCATTTAAAACCCATAGGTAAAAGTTTGACTTGTCATAAAATATAAGGAGATTTAATCTAGAAAAGGGAATAGTCAAATAAGTAATAGATTTATACTTAACTAAATTTTATGAGTTAAATACTTTAATAATCTAATCAGAAAAATCTGGTTACTAAAAAGATTAATTTGCATCAAATGACCACCAGTAACAGCAACTTTGGAAACTCTGAAGACACAGAATTAAACTGAGTACTTATTAAACATGAATGAACAGAATTTGTCAACTAAGTAAGAAAAAGTCCAGGAGCCATATCAAAGTAAACAAGTACAAACAGTTATTTCAAAAGTTACAGTCAAATATGTAAATGGACAAAGTACAATAAATACTTAATTGGAAGGACAAAATATACTAGCATATGGATAGTACATACTTTTCTATAAGAAATAAGCCAAGAAATGCACTTAAACTAACTTGAAATAGTATTTTGCATCTGCTACAACAGCAGCTCAACAATTATGAAGCTATGGACATTTCTACAAAACCATTGACATTCTGAGGTAACGGGCTTCTAGAAAGCAGAATAAAACCTATGGGAAGGTTAAACTCAACAATTCTATTCCTGAAAATTTATATCAAGATACTGATTGAACAGAAGAAACAAATTTATATGTAGAAGGATATTTATTTTAGCATATATAAGGTGGCACACAAACTAATGTAAAACTGTAAGTATATGGCTAAAACTGTTCTCAATGCTCACTCAATATAACACCATGGATCTTGTAAGCATGAATATCATAAAGAAGCTGAGTTGCCAGCGGTTCATACCTGTAATCCTAGCTACTTAGCCTGTACCAGCCTGGGCAAGAAGTCCATGAGATTCTCGTCTCCAAGTAATTACAGAAAAAAATACGTAAGTGGTGCTGTAGCTCAAGTGGTAGAGTGCTAGCCTTGAGCAAAAGGAACTCAGGGACAGCACTCAGATTGAGTTCAACTCCCAGGACTGGCAAAAAAGAAAAAATCATAAAGAAATGTATGTCTTAAAATATTAATAAGGAGAACATAAAACCAGATATGTACTATAATCAGTCAATATTTCTGCATAAGAACAATGTAAAAATAAAGCTAAATAGTGAAAATACATGGTTAGGAAAAGTTATAGGTAAATTTGCTTTTACAGTAAAAACAATTTATGGCACAAGGGGAAACTACTTCAGACAGGTAATAATTAACTAAAATTACATATTTTTAACTAATAGCTTACCATATGCTTCTTCAATGTGAGCACAATATGGGTTAATGCCTACTCCATTCTGCTTAGATTCTTGTTCTCCAAGACGTAATATATTTTCAAGTCCATTTAAAGCCACTTGCACTATTTTGGAGTCCATTACAGTCAAAAGGTCACAAAGGGGTTTAATGCAACCTAAAGCTACCAAATACCTTTAAAGAAATTTAAAAAAGAGAAGTGGGTAAAATTAAAAAAATTAAGACTTAATAAACCCTGTATTTTATAATAACAAAAACATTCTTCATAACAAAGCACAAGCAGTTATGAAAAATATTTCTATAAAAGCTTAAATATTACAAACATCTATATTTTTTGGTTTTTTTGTTTGTTTTTTTTTGGGTCCGGTCGTGGGACCTGAACTCTGGGCCTGGGCGCTGTCCCTCAGCTCTTCAGCTCAAGGCTAGCGCTCCACCACTTGAGCCACAGCACCACTTCCGGCTTTTTTCTTTTTGCTTATGTGGTGCTGAGGAATCGAACCCAGGGCCTCAGGCATGCAAGGCAAGCGCTCTACCACTGAGCCAACTTCCCAGCCCCAACAAACATTTATATTTTTTATGTACACAGGAACCTGAAATCCTATATTCTATATTCCTCTAAAATAACTAGTAATAAACAATTTTATAAATACTAAAAATTATACACACAGGCAAACTGATACTTGGATTTGTTTCTGTATACCATATCAACACTAAAAATAGTAGATTCCACTCTTTTTTGTTTTTTTGTGTTTTGTTTAAGGTGAGGCTTGGGCTGGAAGCAATTATAATATTCTTAAACATGCTACATTTAAGAAATGCAAGTGATGTCCAGAAACAAGTCATCCTGTAAATATTCATAAAAATGTTCATTGAAATATTACATTCATTTCCTAATGTTTCATTCTTTCCTAGTTAGCACGTTTTTCCATTCTGTCTAATATAAATGAAGTAACTAATCTGTTCACTTGGCAAAAAGTTCATATTAAGCACAAAAGTTAAGAACAGGGTCTGAAGTCAGACACCATGAGTCTTAATTTCACTCTTAATTGTATGACCCTAAGTAACTACTAGATATTTGTTTCCCATGTTCAAGTGGGAATAATAATAGTGTCAATTTTATAAGGCTATGAGAATAGAGTAAAAGCATTTAATAAAAATTAACTTTAATAAATGGATGTACCTTCACTGGAGCACATCCTTCCTATATACTGAACTATAATTAAGCAATAATATTTGTTGAATGAATAACTACTTCAGTTATAAGACATAAAAGTACCTGATTGCTGGTACTTAACAACTACAAGTGGAATGTAGGCCAAATATAATCTGAGTTCAAGAAATTCTAACTCTAGCACAAGTGGCTCAGGTCTGTAAATCCTAGCTACTCAGGAAGCTGGGGTATAAAGATCACAAATGAAGCTAGCTAGTAGAAAATTCTTATCTCTAATTATCAAAAAGCTAGAAGTGGAACTATGGAAGTGAGAGAGCAAAAAAGCCAAAAGACAGTGTCCAGGCCCTGAATTCAAGCCCTAATACTGACATTTAAAAAAAGGAAAAATTTAAAGCTTTCTTCTCCTGTATGTATAGTTAACAAGATGACAAAAATGGTTAGAAAATCATTTATCCATTAAGACACTTGATCCAAATAATAAGCTTAAAAGATCATACATGGAAAATAAAATTAAGTTGAAAAATAAAAAAATAAATTGAAAAAATACGCATCTAATTGTAGACAAGAAAACATTCAACTCAAAGCAAATAAATTAGTATTCCAATATAAGACCGAAGGAATGATATTGCTTCATTACTACTTTATTAATGACACAAATGAAGTAGGAAAAACTGATAAAAAGCAATGAGGTAATATGGAAAACATAAAATAGAAACAGGTAATATAATATCACTATACATAAGTTCTGAATTTAAGGGAACAAAATAATAGCACAAATGCCAGGAATAGGACAATGACTTGGCTGAATGCAGTGGTATATGCCTGTAATTCCAGCACTTAGGAGGCTGAGGCAAGGCAGTAAGAGCACTAGGAACTCAAGGCTAGCTTGGGTTACATGGGAGCTCCTGTGTCAAAAACCAAAACCAAACCAAACCAAAATCCATAAAATCCTGTGAACTATAAAATACTAATGTAACTTTAGTCACTTTAAGAAACATAAGAAAGGCTGGAAATATGGCTCAGTGGTAGAGCGTGTGCTTAGGATGCATGAAGGCCTGGGTTTGATTCTTCATTACCACACAGAAAAGGCGCTGTGGCTCAAATGGTAAAGTGCTAGCTAGCCTTGAGCAAAAGAAGCTCAGGGACAGTGTCCAGGCACTGAGTTCAAGGACTGGCAAAAGAAAAAAAAAAAGAAAAAGAAAAAGAAAGAAACCTAAGAATTCTTGAGTCAGGTGGAGGAATCTTCAAAGTAAGATTCTGTAGGAAATCAAACTTTTATTTGAGGCACAAAATGGAACTTGGTTACTGGAGATAAAAAGATAGAAAATACAGTTCAAAAGACTAAAAAGTTAATACTGATAAAAAAATATGGTTACAAAAATGATTAACAGTGGCAAATTTTACTTGAGAACTCCAGGTATCATTACTATGCTGAACAGTTTAAATGCATAAATTTCACTTATGATACTAGTATTATTGAACTTAAAAAAATAAAGACACTAGAATCAATAACTCTGTTAAGATCACACAATTTTTACTAAAGTAAAATTTGAAACTAGTCTGATTTAAATGCCCATTTACAACTACCAGTTAAGTTAGTAAGAAGCTTAAATTATAAAAACAAAAAACAAAAACTAGTACATATGAAATATAACTAGAATAGGAAAAAAAAATGCCACTAGTTAGCTGGGTCAGTGGCTAATGCCTGTATTCCTACTCAGGAGGCTGAAATCTGTGGATTGTGATTCAAAGCCAGCACTGGCTTAGCTAAGTCCATGAGACTCTTATTTCCGATTAATCAGAGGAAAGTGGCACTGTGACTCAAGTGGTGAATCACTAGCCTTAAGCAAAAGGAGCAGCAAAAGGGACAGTGCAAAAAAACAACAACAAAAAAACACTGGTATGACAATTAGGAATACAGAATCATTAAATGTGTACTTCACTTTGCCTGTAATTGATATTCAAATTTATTAGTCACTTTTATGTAATAGTGTTAAGATTTCTATGAATATGTTTTAAAAAAAAATTTGCCAGTCACAGTAAGTCTGATATCAGAAGGATTTTGACCAAGGGTACTTCAGGTAAACAGGAGGTTTGCAGTCCAGGACAGCCTTGGGAAACAACAAAACTTTATCTCAAAAAATCAACTGATATAAAAGGCTATAATCATGGCCTAAGCAGTAGAACACTTGCCTAGCAAGTACCAAGCCCTGAGCTTAAACCTCAAATAAAAAAGAAAAACATTCATGACAGTATAATTTGAAAATAAACAGTTTCTGTTCAAATTAACACCATTCTGCAAAAGAGGATGGTGCTAATTATCATTTACATTTTTTTAATTATGAAAGATTCAGCTAATATTGTTTCATATTAATATGTGCTTATATAATTATGGGCACAGAAATGTTAGTTTCATCACTAAATAAGGAGCATGTTTTAATTCAGATCCTGTCTGATTTACTCCTAAAAAATTGTCAAAACTTAAATCCACCTTATTTGCTCTGGAGTGCCTCCTGATGTTGCATTAGTTATAGCCCAAGCTGCTTCTTTTCTGGTGCGAAATTCTGCTTTCTGAAGAATCTCAATCAAAACAGGAAAAATACTTCCATCTATAACAGCCTGAGAGGAGGATGAAAAATGATGCAACAACATTAGTACAAAACATTTTCTAAAAGCATTACTAAGTAGAGATGTACTGTTTTTTTGTTTTGTTTTTTTGCCAGTCATGGGGCCAGAACTCTGGGCCTATGCGCTGTTCCTCAGCTCTTTTCAGCTCAAGGCTAGCGCTCTACCACTGAAGCCACAGAGCCACTTCCAGCTTTTTCTGCTATGTGGTGCTGAGGAATGGAACCCAGGGCCTCATGCATTAAAGGCAAGCACACTACTACTGAGCCACCTTCCCAGGCTCAAGATGTACTGATTATAAATACTTAAGTATTTCCAAATTGCCATAAACCTGGGTCAGGTTTCTAACAAAATCTTTGAAACTATTTGATCTCTAATCTGCCAACAAATATGCAAATACTTTCTTCTTAAAAGGAAATTACCTTTATTATTTTGTGTATGTCTTGAGATACATTATAGCCCAGGCCAGCCTTAAACTTGGTATGGTCCTATCCTAATATCTGCATGCTAGGATTACTGGTGTGCACCACCATGTCTAGCTGGAAATTATCTTTCAAAAGAATAAAGATGATGTCAGTATAACTTGTGGAGGAGATGGGGAAAAACAAGTCGTTTAAGGATTCAGGTGGACCTGTTGCAACAATGAGAAGTACAAATTGTCATGTCAAAAACGAGCTTTACAATGTCGGGGGGGGGGGGGGGGAGGGGGGAAGGATTGGGTGTGGGGGGAAGGGGGGAGGCTGGGAAGGGAGGTGAAGGGTAAACAAAGGAGGAGGCTACAATGCTTGGTAAGAAATGTATGCATTATCCTGCCCATGTAATTGTAACTCCTCTGTACAGTATGTTCACAAATAAAATAAAATAAAAAAATAAAAGAATAAAGATGAGCCAGGAGCCAGTGGCTCACACCTGTAAACCTAGCTACTCAGGAGGCTAAAATCTGAGGATCACGGTTCAAAGCCAGCCGGGGCAGGAAAGTCCCTAAGACTCTTGTCTCCAATTAACCACCAGAAAACTGGAAGTGCTGCTGTGGTTCAAGTGGTAGTTGAAAAGCTGAGGGATAGCACCCAGGCCCAGAGTACAAGTCCCATAACTGACAAAAACAAACCAAAAAAACAAACAAAAGAATAAAGATGATAAGGGTAGGATATAAGTCTTAAAGACAGTAAAGCACAGGTATATAATTGATACAATGGAGACATTCACCAACCCAAGGAGCTTGATAAGACCCTAATAAATCATTAAAATCTGAGAGAACAACCTAACTTACTTAAAACTGAAGAAAAACCATTACTTTCTAAAAACTAACAATTACACTGGGCACCATTAAGCATTTTAATAAATGTAATTACTGTTCCTCACTAGAATACCAAAAACAATGCCATTATTTTACAGGAGGAAATACTATGCTCTTTGAAATACTTTTCAGGAAGGTTCTTTCAAAATACATCCTTTTTTAGTGATAGCAGTACTATTCTCTACAGTCACTGATAAAATGACAGCTTTTGTTCAAAGTAACATTTGTTCTTGTCTCAGATAGGTAAGGTATTTTACCTGAATCTGAGCTCTGTTTCCAGCAGTAATGTTAGAAACAGTCCAACAGGCTTCTTTTCTAATTGACTCCTTTGGGCTACTCAACAAGTGTAAGAGACAGGGTAATGCAGAACAATTCAAAATTACCTAGAACAAGTTAGAAATGGAAACAAAAAGTTTTACAGTAAATAATCTATACAGAAATGTATAATTCCTATTATACAAATAGATACATATTTCACTACGCACACACATATGCAGCAATCTAAAAGCAATCTGACATTTTAAAAAATCCTTAATGGCCAATGCTTGTGTCACACCTGTATCCTAGCAAGTCAGGAGGCTGAACATCTTAAGTATCAAGGTTCAGTCAGCAAGGGCAGGAAAGTCCATGAGACTCTTATCTCCAATTTTCCACCAAAAAGCTGCAAGTAGAGCTGTGGCTCAAGTGGTAGAGCACACAAGCTAAGCAACAATGCACAGGCATTGAGTTCAAGCCTTAGGACTGACACACACACACACATACTCTCTCTCTCTCTCTCTCTCTCTCTCTCTCTCTCTCTCTCTCTCTCTCTCTCTCCTTGATGAAGGCTAGGTGTATTGCTCAAATAGTAAAATGCTTGAGTAGCATTCTCAAGAATTCTAGTTTCAAGCCAGGTACGGGTAGCTCAAGCTTAGGTAGGAAAGTCCACCCAACAAGCTGGAAGTAGAGTTGTACTTCAAGAAACAGAGAGCTAATCTTGAGCATATAAGCTCAGGTACAACGCCCAGTCCCAGAGTTCAAGCCCCAGGACCTGTACTTATACACATACACAAAGGAGAAGAATGCTAGGTTCAATACTCATAACCATCCCCCATACACACACACAAAAAGAAGAAACCTTAATGTGCAGAGTAAGTTTTATTACTCTACTTCTTAGGTAAAGATCTACTTTATCACTATACAAAGGTCTTTATTCCCTTCTAATTCTTTTTTTTCCCCCCCGTCAGTCATGGGGCTTGAACTCTGGGCCTGGACACTGTCCGCTCAGCTCTTCAGCTCAAGGTGAGTGCTCTATCACTTGAGCCACAGCACCACTTCAGGTTTTCTGGTGGTTAATTAGAGATAAAGAGTCTTACAGACTTTCCTGCCCAGGCTGGCTTTGAATTGCAATCCTCTGACCTCAGCCTCCTGAGTAACTAGGATTACAGATATAAGCCACCAGCACCGGTTCTTCTAATTCTTTATGTTCCTATATTCAAAAATGATTTAAATTTTGGTAAAGAATGTAAAGAGCACTGTAGTAAAAATTAAGTTGAAAATACACAGTGTTTTCATTAAATGGGTATTTTGATAGAATAACTATCAGTTACCAGAATCAATTGCTTATTTACTTTGGTGATTAAATAGAATTTAAAAAGTTAAAACTAAAAAAAAAAAAAAAAAAATGTAGGCCAGGTGCCGGTGGCTCACACATGTAATCCTAGCTACTCAGGAGCCTGAGATCTGAGGATCTCGGTTCAAAGCCAGCCTGGGCAGGAAAGTCCGTGAAACTCTTTATCTCCAATAAACCACCAGAAACTCAGAAGTGGTTCTGTAGCTCAAGTGGTAGAGCACTAGTAGCCTTGAGCTGAAGAGCTGAGGGACAGCGCTCAGACCCAGAGTTCAAGACCCATGACTGACAAAAACAAAACAAAACAAAATGTAGACTAGAACTTAAAAAAACAAACAAACATACTTTTAAGATGGTAAACACAAGAGAATCCTGATACCAAACCTTAATTTGATGTCTCATCTTTCTTTCAAAGACATACACATATACATGTAGCTAATCACTAATTCTAGAATTATTTATTTTCACCGTGCTATTTTTAATCCCATTTGAAACCTATTTACAATCAGTTACCATTTAATGTTTCTGGTTAGGTTTAATGCTTTTTTTTTTTTTGCTTCCAGTCCTGGTGCTTGAATTCAGGACCTGAGCACTATTTGTGAGCTTCTTTTTGCTCAAGGCTAGGACCTTACCACTTGAGCCACAACTCCACTTCTAGCTTTTTTGGTGATTAATTGCAGATAATTGTCTTACGGACTTTCATACCTGGGCTGGCTTTTGACTTCAGTCCTTACACATGTCTGCTTCTACATTTATCATCACAAAAACACTTTCTATTTAAGTATTTCTCTACTTTTAGCGTCTAGTTTTAGTTCTAACTCCTGTATTTCTCTACTTTTAGCATCTAGTTTTAGTTCTAACTCCTTAACGAAATTTAGTATGCTGATCTTCTTCAAAAACTTTTACAACATTTACTGTCTGGTCCACTGATTATTCATATATACATATCAACTAGGTTTATTTGCTTTATTTAAATATTTTCTCCTTAATTAGATATAAATTCCTGAAAGAATATTTATCATATACTTTTTTTTGGGGGGGGGGTGGTACTGAGGTTTGACTTTAGGGTCTCCTCTTTTCTCAGCTGGCAGTCTCCTACTTGACCTAACACCTCCAGCCCTGTTTATTTCATGGATATTTTGGAGACGGAGTCTTTCAGACTTTTCTGCCCTGACTGGCTTCAAACCTTCTGAGTTGCTAGGATTACAGGTGTGAGCTACCAGCACCCAGCTTATCATATATTTCTTTGGATCTACAATAGTATTTTCCTAAACAGATGTATAAACAGATTACATGTTATCAAAAATATGCTCACTGCCCTGAATGCATAAAACACTGTAGCACTTATTATAAAGTATATACAACTAAGTGGTATGAAACATAATAAACAAAACATAGCAACTTGTCATATTAAAGTTTGAACTTACCTGTGTTTGCATATCATCACCAGTCACAATATTACCAACTGCTCTTAATGCAGGTGATACAACTTTATAGTCATTGTGCCTAAAAAATAAAAATTTGACCTCATATACTAAAAAATTTTAATTTAGAGAAAATTACACAGTACCAATCCCTCTATTCTGTTCATTCAGTCATTTCATTCACATTTTACTAATTCCAAGTAATTAAAAAGAAAAAAACAAACTCGAGGCCATGTGCTACACCCAAATAGTTATGTCACTCCAGTCTGTCATAATCAAAACAGTTCCTCAATCTTCCTTTGATTTTCATAATCTCATCATTTTTGAAGATCACAAGCTATTAATTTTATCCAGGTTTTATACACACACACATTCTTCTCATGATATTGAAGCTAAATATTCTGTGAGCATGCATGTCAGTACTCAAGGCCTATATGTTCTCATTTTCTTTTTTTATTAATATTCTGACACTGTACTACTTCAAACATGCTTGTAGTCAAGCTTTTTTCTGGTTAATTGAAGCTATAATCTCAAAGACTTTTCTGCCTGGGCTGGCTTCAAACCTCAATCCTCCTGTCTCAGCCTCCTGAGTAGCTTATAGGCATGAATCACCAGCACCTAGCTTATAGTGTCTTTTAAACCAAGTTTTATTTATACGGAAATGCTATTCTTTTAAAAAGAAAACAGCTAACCAGCCTGTTAAAGACAAACGTTATAAACATTATCTTTTATACAAGTGAGATATTAAATGATTTTTAGTACATGACCTTTTATACAAAATTATTGCAATGAATAAATCAGTGATTGTTAGAAAAGAAATAGTGTTCTGTATTTTACTGTGTCTCATATACCAAGGCATTTATACATACTTGTTGAATTAAATCTTCCTTACTCAGAAGAAAAACATATAAAAATAAACAGATTAATTTACAAACTAATTTGTAAATTATAATAGTTAAATTTGTAAATTAGGAGTTTAAGGTTCAATTAGGATTATAGCTACTCTGTAAAGTGTATGACTGGTAATTTTTTAACTACTCTTTAAGACAGTGACTTCTGAGGAGTTCTTTACTGGGCTAATCTTATTACAAAACTATACAATTATAAAAGCATAAATTATAATTACATTAAAAGTTCCACCAGTCTTACACACACTCCAGAATCAATGACTGCTTGAATTTTATCATTGGGTCCATCAGAGAGGTAAGAAAGGGCCCAACATACATCTGCTAACACATCTGAGTCACTGCTAAACAATAATCTTGAGAGGACATTTAAGCAAGGTGAAACCTGGAAGGGAAGAAAGAGTTAAATTTCAATTTTTTCTTTATTCAAAACCAGTTTTCCTTAGGCAAATTTATAAATTCAGCTTAAAACAATTAATCTTATAAAAATACCAAAGAAATTAAAAGTCTTTCAAAATTATCATCACATATATGAACATGCAACTGATTATAGGTGATACTGATTCTTATGTTGAATAAAATATGTGGTGAAGACTTTTCTAAATAATCAAAAATATATGTGCTATCTCCTGTCTTTGTTAATATCATATAAATACTCCTCAAAACATATATAAAAACTGTGAGGGGTCTAAATACTTCATGTTTAGTGTTTACTGTAACAAACATGGAATTGTTGACCTAAATAAGTTTTACTTCACTCATTACATGAACTTTACTAGAAATAAATCTAATCCATTTGTGGAAAAGTTATAGAAAATATAAAAGTAAATGTACTTCTGAAAGATGTTCAAATAGCAGTCATTAATAAACTGTATTCTGTTGTTGTTTTGACAGGTTGCAGTGCTGGTTGACCTAGAGTTTTTTTTCTCTTTTTCTCCTGTGATTATGAGGACTGAACCTAGGACCTTACATGCCAGGCAAATGGTGTACCACTAAGCTACATCCCCTAATCTGGCCTCAAGCTCTCAATCGTCCTGCTTCAGTGCTACGAATACAGGTATGCATCACCAATCACAAACCAGATATATTTGCTCTTAATGTAATAGAACCTAAATCTTCAAGCAAAATCAAAACTGACCAGGTCTGGTGGTGTACATGTATAATTGTAACACTTAGTAGGGCTGAGATAGGAGAACTGTTAAGTTTGAGGCCAGCCTGGGCTACAGAGGAAGACTGTCTCAAAAATAAAAACAAACAAAAATGAAAACAACAAAATAAAAAATCCAAAACTAAACACCTAAGCAGATTTGTAATCCCTCTAAGTATAGCTACTTTAATCCTTATTAACGTTAAAACTGATTAGTTGTAGAGGTAGGCAACACCTTTCAAATGTCTTCATTTATAAAATGGGAATAATGTACTAATAAATTTATAAGAGTGCATATACCATCTAAGAATAATGCCTGGCATACAATAACCACTGAAATAATCATCTTTTTTTTTTTTTACTCACATGATGAGTGTTCTCTTTTCCTTAAGGTTTTGTCAAGTTAATTTATCCTATAGTGTCCTTCCTCAGATAAGAGCTATAATAGCTCTTCCTCCACAGACCTATGGATGCCTCAAACTGTGGATAATAGGGACTTCAATATATTTTGTATTATTTCTATACCTATGGATAAAAAAATTAATGTATTTTTTTCTAACTAAACTCTATCATAGTGTTTGTAACTGTTGTAGATTAGTAAGCAGAATAAGCACATCTAGATCATTCCTCAATAATCATGCCTCCATCCCTGACAAAAATACCTTCTTTAAACAGTTATGCATAAATGCAACTTTAAAAACAGATCTGAGTTAGAAATCAAAGTTAGGTGCCAGGGGCTAGGTCTATAATCCCAGCTTCTCAGACGGCTGAGATCTAAGGATTACGGTTCAAAGCCAGCTCAGGCAGAAATGTCCATAAGGCTCTTCTCTCTGATAAAACTATTCTAGTAAGAAGCTAGAAGTAGAGCTGTCGCTCAAGTGGTAGAGTGCTCACCTTGATCAAAAAGATCAAGGACAGTATACATGCCCTGAGTCCAAGCTCCAAGACTGGTGTGCGAGCGCGCGCGCGCGCACACACACACACACACACACACACACACACACACACACACGCACACACACACACACCAGAATTAGCTGATAAGTGCCTTTTTATTGAGTTAAATAAAAAGTAAGCACTAAGTTTCTAGAAAAAATATCTAGTCTTACAATTAAAAAAAGAAAACATTTCTGCCCTACTATCTTGTTAGAAACAAGGAAAAGAAACACATATAAACTTCATCTTTGTGGAGACAAGCAGACATTACAATCCTGTCTACAATATATTAAGATGAAAAGTTCCTAAAAAGAAACTGAGGTAGGAGTATACTAATTTACCTTCCAGCAAGTGCCTTAGAAATCAGAGGCTTCAAGCATCACAGAAGGCAGGGGAGACAATGCTAAAAATGAAATACTGAGTAAGGACTTTAGCTCCAAGTCAAGCTTACTATACATGTAGGTGACTAGCATTCTCAAGGCCATAAAAAAGTCGAAGTTAATTATAAGGAAAATGGACAACAAAACGTGAAGTACAGTAACTAAGACATGAGACAGAGAAAGGGTGAAATGCAGCAGATGGGATCTATGAAGATTCAGTAAAAGTGCACCCACAGATTGATGAAAACCTCCTTCCAATGCCCAATTTTAAGATATCCAGAATCTAGGTAAATTTCCCATTCTATAGTAGGTGTTAAGAAGGTTCTTGTTGAATATTTGCCGAAATGATCTATTGCTTTAAATAAAATACACAGGGGAATTGCATGCTTATGAACAAATGTGGATTATGAAATATTTTAACAGGAACCTCTGGCCAATTTCTAAGGAAGAGAAAAATGATGCATGGCTAGCTACTAAGGAGGCTGAGATCTGATTATGATGGTTCAAAGCCAGCCCAGGCAAGAAAGGTCCGTGAGATTCTTTATCTCCAATTAACCACCAGAAAACCAGAAGTGGTGCTGTGGCTAACATGGTAAAGTGCTGGCCTTGAGCTGAAGAGCTCAGGGATAGCAACCAGGTCCCATGGGCAAAGTCAAAAGCAAGATTTGCTAGACTGAAATAATCCAGATGACATAGATAGTACACACCATGTAGGTAATATAGATGCTTCCTGAATGTATTACTTTGAAAAACTTCAAATCCATAGAACATTTTCAAAAACACTCAATGCTAAAAACATCTATATACCATTCATACAGTTAACAAATACTCTCTTCCCAAATTCATTCATGCATGTACATGCATACACATATTTTTCCTTTTAAAAACTAGATATGAGAACCAGTTATATTCACACACATATTTTCCTTATTTTTTATTTTTATTTTTTTGGTCTGGTCGTGGGGCCTGAACTCTGGGCCTGGGCACTGTCCCTCAGCTCTTCAGCTCAAGGCTAGTACTCTACCACTTGAGCCACAGTGCCACTTCCAGCTTTTTTTTTTCTGCTTATGTGGTGCTGAGGAATCGAACCCAGGGCCTCATGCATGCAAGGCAAGCGCTCTACCACTGAGCCACCTTCCCAGCCCTTTCCTTATTTTTTAAAAACTAGATCACTTTAAAAATTAGTTACAAACATTATTATGGTTTAGCATACATTTTTTAAGCACAAGGAAATCCCATTTTTTTTACTACAATATAATTATAACATAATTTAACAGTGACACATTATTATCTAAAGGAAATGTCACCTTCTGATTTTTAAGCTAAAAATTATGATATATAAGCCAGGTGCTGGTGGCTCACGCCTGTTGTAATCCTAGCTAATCAGGAGGCTGAGATCTGAGGATCCCAGTTCAAAGCCAGACTGGGCAGGAAAGTCCGTGAAACTCTTATCTCCAGTAAACCACTAGAAAACTGGAAGTGGTGCTGTGGCTCAAGCGGTAGAGTGCTTGCCTTGAGCTGAAGAGCTGAGGGACAGCACTCAGGCCCAGAGTTCAAGCCCCACAAACAATAAAAAAACAAATTATGATGAAAAATCTAACCAAAGATTATTTCATGTTATGTATCTTTAATAGGACCTTAAAAATAAGGCTTAAGAAAGTAGTTATATATAGTAAAACTATACTCTTTGTAGGTATGCAATTCAGTATGTCTATTTCAGGAATGTAGATTTTTTACTAGAAATGTAAACCATCATCCAATCAAACTACAGATATTTCTATCATTCTGAATAGTTCTCTTCTTGGTAGTCAATTTTCTTTCCTCAGGCATTTCTCAATAATATTTTTATCCTAAGTCTGCCTTCTCCAAAATGATTCTGTTATATGAGTGGAATCATGCAAGATGCAGCATTTATGTGTATATTTTCAGTTACATTTATGCCTATGAGGTTAATGCAAGTTACTGCATGGACTAGTTTGTTTCTTCATAGTGAGTTGTATTCTATCATATAAACATACCAGCTTATTTATCTGCACACCAATTGTGCATATTTGCATTGTTTCCAGTTTTTGGTTCCAATGACTAAAGCTGCAATAAATATTTGCATGTAGGTCTTTTATAGACATACTATTCCCTATCTCTCGGTAAGTATCAGACATAAGTATGCTGGACATTTCATACAAAGTATCTATGCCATTTTATATTCCCAACTTTACAACCACAGACCTGAATGAAACACCTTAATCTTTTATTTATTTTTTTTTAAATACAAGTAGCTTCAAGTTTCAAAGAACTAAACTAGAATACCTTTAAAGTCAACTACAAAACCCATAAACTTGATTATAGTGGTTGTCTCCAGGCAGCAGAATTGGATGGATGAGAGAGTAGAAATCTGTAAATCTCAAAGGTTTTGAATTTTTTGAATGTGCAAATACTGTCAGGATAATGAGAAAAATATATACTAACAAAAAGGAGTACTTTCAACCTCAAGAAAAAAATCTTTCATAAAGCAACTTGTTTGGCAGAGACAAACTGTGTAACTAGTATATTTTTTTGCATACCTTACTGAAGTTTGGAGGAGGGTTTTTGCCTCTACATAAATTTGAGAGGGCCCACACAGCATTTCTGGTTGTTGTGAGTCTGTTTGAATTTCCTAATAATCTGCCAAGGAAAAAAAAATAGAAATAGCTACTTTGCATAACACAGAGACAAAAGTAGTTACACTGATCAGATAAAATAGATAATATGAAAAAATATTACTTTAAAGAGACAGAAGACATTACATAATGATGAAATTTTAATCTATCATACAGATACATCCCATGTTCACTGATTGAAAGACAAAATACAATGCAAAACAATATAGACATTCAAAATAGTAATGACCTTTTCTGCAGAATATTATTCAGCTATAAAAAGAATGAATTACTCTATATATAGTACAATATGGATGAAGTCTAAAAACAATATACTAAGACAAACAAGCCTGAAACAAAGGTCATATTAGATGATTCATTTATGAAATATTCAGTACAGGCAAATTTCATAAAGACAAAGGGCTAAAATGATGCTAAAATGGTATGTGATATTAGATTTGGATATTAGATTTCTATTTGAGTTAGTGAAAATGTTAAGGAAGTAAAAAGAAATGATTGTTGAACAGTATTAGAAATATACTTAATTCTACTGAACTGTATACTTTAAAATAGCTACTTATGTATTTTATACATAAAAATATTATGAAGATATTCCTATAAATAGCTTTGAGGCTTCCTTATATATATGTGTGTGTATGTATATACATATATGTGTATATATAAAATCACTAGAAATAAAATAATTATACTGATTTTGTGTAAAGAGATTGACAACTGTTTTTTCAGGAACTCTTAAAGATTCTTTATCTGGAGCTATTTAATTCTGCTGATGGAGTATGAAAGCAACTAGATGTTAACTAAGTGAACGGATATTACTGTGTCCCAATGAAGCTTATTTGAAAAGACATGAAACAAACCAGATTTGGCTTAAGAGCATAAACTTTCCTTTTTCTGTGTAACTGGGATACTTATGTAAATCTTTTCCTTAAAGTTTAGGTACATTTAAGCAATGTGTAGGCAAATCTGTCCTATAGTAATAAAAGATTTATATTACTGAGACTCAAATGAATTAGCAACAAAATAAACTTCATTGAAACAAAACTGAATGTTAAGAGAAATTGCTTTATAAATATGTGTTTATATATATGTATATATGTGTGTATATGTGTATATACATGTATATATATACATGTATATACATACATATATGTGTGTGTGTATATATATATTATTTTTTGTCATCTCTTCCACAATATTTTTTTTGAGGGGGGGGGGTGTCTGGTCGTGGGGCCTGAACTCTGGGCCTGGGCGCTGTCCCTCAGCTCTTCAGCTCAAGGCTAGCACTCTACCACTTGAGCCACAGCACCACTTCCGGCTTTTTCTGCTTGTGTGGTGCTGAGGAATCAAACCCAGGGCCTCATGCATGCAAGGCAAGCACTCTACCATTAAGCCACCTTCCTAGCCCCTGCTTTTTATATTTTTAAGTCATACAAAGGGGTTTAGATTCTACAAGACAGAGTATAAATGCACTGTCTTCTGATCAATGTGTACTTACTTTAGCATTCGCTGAGTGTGAATTTCAACATGAAAAACAGATAATTCATAATTTTTAACCATTCTTGAAGTGACAGCAACTGATAGCTAACCTGACTTAACCTTTTTTTTTTATTACATACTTATTATTTTATATATTACTACCAACTTGGGATACGAAAGAGAAGAAACCTAGGGACAGACACCAAAAGTAAAAAGACAAACTAAATGCTCAGTTAATATATCATCATATATGCAGTTCAGAAGAATGTCATACTGAAACTTTGTTTTTAATATGAAGACTTCAGAATGACTCTGATATTGAACTCTATCAGTATTTTCTTTTACGATTCAGCTAAACTCTCATAAATGGAACATTAAGTTTGGATAAAACCAAAATTGATGAAATTATAAGTGGTTTGGTGGCTTCAGAGTAGTTCCTCAATTAATGTCAGTTACTTAAAATCCTTTGGAGAAATTATTTCTGCCCACAGAAACTACTTATTTTTATACAGGAATGAAATATTTTACATATTAGTGTCTAGAAGTTAACCACTCAATCTTCACCTAGAAATGGAGAATAATACAGAACTGATAAATGGTAAAAGTTTTTGTTTTCCTTGCCACTGGCATTTAGCCTAACTGAAGATCCTTTCAGGGGACTAGCCTGTTTTTCTTGACGGTGAAATGGCTGGTTAATCATTGAAATACACACAACTGAGAATAATGCTGCATTAATACAGAAGTTTATCTTAAGATTTTTTATTTTTATACTCCTGACATTAAATATGGTTTAATTAGCCTTGCTAATTCTAAGCAAAATTATAAAACACTAACTATACATGTAGAAAATATGGGAGTATAAATTTTGTTTTCTAAAAATAGAATTGTAAACAATTAAAAAAATACTTACTCTAAAAGAGGAGGAAGTATTTCACAATTTAAAACAAAATCTCGGCATTCTGCATTGTCACCAGCAATATTACCAAGTGCCCACACAGCCTTAGAAAAGTAAGAAAGAATATTCTCTCAGTATCTTAAGTAAGATGCTGTCTCTTAAGAGGAAGAGTTCAGTACAAAATGAGTAAGGAAATAATTTTTAGCAATGTGAGAAAGCAAAATTAAAATAGAAAACAAGAAAGAAAAAAGAATAAAAGGTGATTTTATAGTATTTTAAATCAAATTGAAAGAGCATTTAAAAAGTTTCCCTTACATTCTAGTAAAAATTTCTATTCCATTCAACACAGAGAACAATCTACATGGAGAGTCAAATTTAGCAAATTTTCCAATATATTTATACTGAAGTTTGCGCTTATGCTAAGAAACCCCCTAACTGGAAAGGCTTGTAAATAAGATGAGAAAGAGGGCAGGAGACATAGCTCAAGTGATAGAGCACTTGCTTAGTTAGGCAAGGTCCTGAGTTCAAACCACAAGCTTAAAATAATTTTTTTAAAGAAATAAAGCTGACAAAAATTAACAGTGAATATGAGAATAAATTTAAAAGTGGTCAGGGTATATTATAATTATTGAATATGAGTATAAATTTAAAATTGGTCAGGGTATATTATACTTTTTTAATAAATGTTAGTAAAGGATAAAATTAGTTATTCTAAATTCCAATTCAATAACCAATTATGCAAATACAAATTATTATATTCTAATTTCAAACTTTTCATGTAAGTACAAAGGACATTGTGTTTTCAACTTGGAAAACTTTGACATTTAAACATGAGTAAATACTTTTAACATCTACTTAAAACTATTTGCATTTTTTTTTTAATCCCTGAAAAGAGCAAACAACCCCTGTGAAGATACTTATCATCCTGTGGACTATAATGTTAGTGAGGGTATTACTTGCTCTTATTTTTTAAGAGGCCAATTTTTTTCTTTTACAATTTTATTGTTATAATAAAGGTGAGGTACTGAGAGGTTAGTTACATAAATCGGGTAAAAAGTACATTTATTTTTTGACATCACTCTTTCCTTCCCACTCTCCCGTTTTTCCCTCCCTTCCCCACCCACAAGCAGTTCATTCTCAAGTGTCTAGTGAGTTCCACTGCTGCGTTTATTTTACCCTCTGTCACTCCTTTTCTATGCTTGTCCTTACCCTCCCAAAGACATATAAATGAACAAACAAAACAAAAACAAAAGAACATCATCAAAAGAAATAAAACCTCTCGATTCCATTTCCTGGAGTTATTTTGATAAATATTATTTTATATGAAGAGGCACACACAGGCATTGCACCTTTGTGTTCTTCTCCTAAGAGTATCCTCCCAGTGTGCCATATAGTTTATCATGTCCCCGTATATTTAAAACTAGCTTTCACATATGAGAGAAAACATGCAGATTGTCTCTCTGCGCTTGACTTATCTTCACTTAACATGATTTGTTCTAGGCCCACCCATTTCTCTGCAAATGGCTTATTATTCTAATGGCTGTGTAAAATTCCATTGTATGTTAGTACCATATTTCCTGGATCCACTCATCTATTGTGGGCTGGGCTGTTTCCATAGTTTGGCTACTGTGAATAGTGCAGCAATGAACATGGATGTGCAAGTTATCTTTACGGCATCCTGGCTTGTGATGTTCTAGGCAGATGCCCAGAAGTGGAATGGCTGGATCATAAGCAAGATTTATGTTTAGGTTTTTAAGGAACCTCCAGACTACTGTCCAGAGTGGTTGTACTAGTTTTAGTTTGCATTACTACCAATAGTATAATAGGGTTCTTTTCCCCCCACATCCCAACATTTGTTGTTCAAATTCATGATGTTGGCCAATCTAACTGAGGTGAGATGGAATCTAAGAGTTGTTTTGATATGCATTTCCTTTATGGCCAGGGATGATTTACATTTCCTCATGTGTTTCTTTGCATTCTTAGCTCTTCTTTGGAGAAGTCTCTCCTTAGTTCCTTTGCCCATTTAGTGATTGGTTTATTAGCTTGGAGGGGCTAGTTTCTTGAGCTCCTTGTTTATTCTGAGTATTAGGTCTTTGTCTAATGTATTGCCCATAAAGATCTCCCAGTTTGTTGGCTGACTTTCTATGTCCTTTGTCCTTGGCTGTACCGAAACTTTTAGTTTGATATAATCCCATTTGTCAAGTCTCTCTCCTATCTGCTGCACACCTGGAACTTTTTTCAGAAAGTTTCTGCCTACTCTCTTTTTACAGGTCTGATGTTAAGATCTTTGACCCACTTTGAGTTGATACTAGTGCATGGTGACAACAGCAATTCATTTTTAGTTTTCTGCATATGAATGACCAGTTTTCCCAACACCAATTACTGAAGAGGCTATCTTTTTTCTTCTGTGTATCTTTGGTTCCCTTATCAGATAAGTGTAGGTATATAGTTTCATTTCCTGGTCTTATAGTCTCTTCTATTGATCTTGGGTCTATTTTTGTGCCAATACGAAGTTGTTTTTGTTATTATAGTGTTATAGTAGAGTTTGAGGTCTGGGAATGTGACACCACCAGCATTACTTTTTTTTTGCCTAGAATTGCTTTGGTTATTTGAGGTCTTTTGTTGTCCCATATGAACTTTTGGATTGTTTCCTCTATCTTGGTAAAGAACTTCATTGGAATTTTGATGGGGATTGCATTAAAATTTGATTGCATTAAATTTGTACATCATTTCTGGCAATATGGCCATTTTTACAATATTAATTCTACTTCTCCATAAACATGAACAGTCTTTCCAAGGCTCAATTTTTAAATACTAACTTGAGCTACTAACTTTCCAGGGTCTCATTATACTCTTCTGTCAATAAGAACAGTGACTCCTTTGCTAGTCCAGATCACACATAGAGAGAACCCAAGTTCTATGCCCCAGGCAATTCATTCTTCTATTCTTCAAATTTGAGAGAAACTGTACAGAAACTGGTGTATTTTAACAAATGCAATGCACAGGCACATTAGGCACAAAATCAATCACAAGCCATAATCACAAATGGAAACTAGAACTTACTTGCTCCTGAACATCTTCGTGTTCTGAATTAAGAAGTTTAATAAAGATTGGAACAGCCCCCGTTTCAATTACTACTTTGGTATGCAGAAAAGTTCCAGATGCTATATTAGTTAATGCCCACGCAGCTTCAAACTAAGGGGTAAAAGTAAAATAAGATTCTCTGTGAAGTCAGGTTTCAGAGACAGAAACCCTTAGCTAAGAAAAATTAGAATTTAATCAAAAGACAAGAAGGAACATAATGGAAATTTGTAATCCCAACAATAAATACATTTTGTAATTCCTATAGCTTGTAATGCTTACTATTAGGGAGTCTGCTGTTCAAAGTAAACAGTTCAAAAATCAATACTTTTTTTTTTTTTTTTAATTGGAGCTAAGAGTCTCATAGACTTTCCTGCCCTGGTTGGCTTTGAACCGCTACCTTCAGATCTCAGCCTTCTGAGTAGCTAGAATTACAGGTGTGAGCCACCAGCACCAGCTTTTAGTAGTTTCTTTAATACAGCAAGAGAATCTTAAGAGGTACCTATTTTCCTAGTTAGCACTAAACTGCACATAAAAACATGAAAATTAAAAGTCAAAGGCTGGAAATCTGGCTCAAGTGGTAGAGCACTTGCCTAGCAAGCTCCTGGCCTGAGTCCAAACACCATACTTCAAAAGAAAAAAAAAACAAAACATACAGATCATACAGAACAACAAAAACCTGAGAGGGCTTTTGACATTAAAATATTTGTAAACTTTAGTAAATTTATTATCAGTAGTAAATTACATAAGAACTTGTTTTATTATCAGTAGTAAATTACATAAGAACTGGTTTTATTTGTCTTCACCTTTATCAAAAGCTGAGTCAAAGTATCAAAGGCAATGGTACAATGGAGTAATTATAAAATGGAAAAGTTGTTTTTCCTCTTAGTAATGATTCTCAGGGCCTTGCCATTACTACGTAAGTACTTTACCACTTGACCTTTCCTTGGAGTCCTTTTGCTTTAATTTTTAGTCAGGGTCTTGGCTAATGTTGGACCATGATCCTATTCCTTCTGCACAGCTGGGATTACAGACATGGCCCACCTTGCCTGGCCTGTATGTTGAGATGGGTTATTCCTAACGTTTTGCCTAGTGTGGCCTCCAGATCTTCATTTCCTTAATAGCTTGGATTATAGGCATGTGCCATCACACCCAGTCAGCAAATTATTTTAAAGATCTCTCAAACTGTAATAGTATCATGGTTCAGAAGTAATGATCTTTAAGACCAATATAACGATGATCACACTTTTTAGTAGATTGGACTTAGTATTTTTTTCAAAAAAAAATCTAACTGATCAATGAAAAATGACTTTAGGGATAAAAGTGAACTATGATCATCTAAGAATTAATTTAACTATATCTTAGTTTGAAGTTTCTAAAACATAAAGTTATTAAGGCTAACAACTATAAACATTTTTATTAATGTTAGTAATGAGTTTATATATGCTTTCCAGAATTGTTCAATAAAACAATTCTCAGGGAAATGGTGCTGTGGCTCAAGTGGTAGAGTGCTTGCCTTAGGCTGAAGAGTTCAGGGACAGCTCCCAGGCCCAGAGATCAAACCCATGACCGACCAAAAAAAAAGACAATTCTCAGAAGAAACAGTACTAGGCAAGCACCATGCAGTGGCTCATGCTTGTAACCCTAGCTACTCAGGAGGCTGAGATCTGAGGATCAAGGTTCAAAGCCAACCAGGGCAGAAAAAGTCCATGAGACTCTTATCTCCAATAAACCACTCAGAAAACCACAAGTAGCCCTGTGGCTCAAGTGGTAGAGCACTAGCCTTGAGTTAAAGAGCTGAGGGACAGCGCCCAGGCCAGAGTTCAAGCTCCGCAACGGACAAAATAAACTAGTACTATAACCATGTCCAGGACAGTACAGTTGACACTACTTTTTCTTTTATTACCAAATAACACTGAATGCTTACAAGAAGAAACTGTTTCCACTAGAAACTTTAATATATTATTTCTATAAAGAGATTAAGAATGAAAACTTGAGACTCACTTGTAAAGTGCAATTTTCAGTTCTTTCAAGAAATTTTACAAATCTCTGTACAACTCCTGGCTTTTGTATAACTTGATCTATTGGGGGATTAGGTTCTAAAAATTGAGAGAAAAGTATTATCAAACAAGACATGAAAAGACAATAATGTGGTTGTCATTCAATTAACAGGCACACAAAAATTTTCACTGATCTAAGTTTAAAGCTATTATCTGAATGTAACTGAAAACAAGTGTTTTCAAAATAAACATTTTTGCAAAGCAAATTTTACATTTCTATTAAAAAATAGGGAATTTCAACAGTATTTTCTATGTATTTAAATTTTATAAGCTGAGGCCTATTTTATGAAGCCACCTTTAGAATGTGAGAGAAATATCAATCTAATACTGAAAACAGCAGATGAGAAAGTATTCATTAACTTTCTACAATACTATCTTCAATTTTCAAAGGTCTCTTCCTCACTATTGACCAGAACTTGCTTAAAGTCTCTCAGCCAGATGAAGTTCTCTTGTTTATGGATATATTTATGATGTTCAGAAATGTTACTAGACTACCTAAAACTCTTAATAAATTTCATGAAATTTAGAGGTCTTTAAAATCATAAAATCTCCGGAGAATTTATGGAAAATTCAGAAAGTTATTTTAAATACTAACCGAGAACAGAGAAATCCTTGTTCTATCCATGGACAGATAAAAACTGTACCCTTTGGTTCAGTATCTTCTCTGTTCAGTAACTTTTTTGTTAATTCAATCATCATTGTCAGATGTGATAGCTAACAAAGTACCTAAATGGTTTTTTTCTTTCCTAGATTTCAGACCAGATTTAAGCATTATATGCATTTTCATTTTCACACCTTTAAAATGTAACATAACCTAAATCAAACACATAACTCTGCTTACTCTTTAACCTTTTCCTGTCCACAATCCAAATTTGTCTAGTACTGTGTCATCTGCCCATGTAGTTACACACAGAATTCTCATTTCTACTTCTAACTTGTGTAATTATACCCAGTTTAGATTTTTCAAAATGTTAATTCTAGCTGCTCAATATGTTGTTATAGTAATAAAACAGAACAATACAGTATTAATCCTTTTTACTTCCTTTTTAAAAATAAATAAAAATTCAGAATGTAGTTACTACATTTACCTTCTCCTTTTCCAAAATTCTAAATATACTACCTTTTTTTTTTAAGCTTAAGAACAGATTTTTTTCCTTGTCTTTTCAAGGAATAAGAGTTGAGGTTACAATAAGAAAAGAAAAGAAAAAGTTGTGGTTAGAGGGTCTGAGAAGTAGATATTGGACTATCAGCTATATCAATACATATAGTTTAGTGATGTCTCTAAATGTCATAAATAAGAACTCAAATATGGTCTCTTCATGGAGAATTATGAGCAATACATTTAGAAAATAAATACAAAAAAAAGAAATCATTCAAAGTGGAACTGGATCATCAGAGAATCTAACATAAATCTGAACTGGAATACTGATCTATAGAATACTGAAATTATATTATTTACAGAATATTCTACATTATCTTATAAACATGAAAACTACTACACAATAGACTTTTTGTCATTATGACAATATATGTTATAAAAATATAAGCAAAATAGTGCTGTTGTGCTTTAACAGCACTAGTGATGAAAACAAAAAAAAAGTGGAGAAATTTCTGTAAAACTCGGATTAAAGTGTCATTTATGATTTATATCCACAAGAGTGGCTATGATAGGGAAATAAATCTTATGAAATGTTTTATCATGGTTTAAATCAGAGAAGAAAAAGCTCTGAGCAGAGGGTAGGCAATATCTGCCTAGTGCCAACAGTAAAATGATTACAATAAGTAAATACTCCCCCAAAAAGACAAAGTCTAATGAATTGTGTTTCTCTTAAGTACCACTCAACCTGAAGAAAAAGAAACAGACCACTTGGATTGTGGAAATATGAAAGTATATTTACAAAGTAAATCTATATGCCTTTAAGTCAAATTACTGGAGTTATCTGACATGTGTTTTAATAACATAATAAGTTATTTTGTTAAAAAAAATCCTCCTGCTGTGTTTGCTTACAGTTCTAGGTATAGCTGCTTTCCTATACTGACAGATCAAGTAAAACTCCACTGACAAATCAAGTAAAATTATAGTCAAGATACTATTTTTCCAGGCCTGCCAGGTACGGCAGAAATATATCTCGATTGCTCTAAACCCAATCTGAGCAAACAAAATCCCAGGATCAAGAAGAACAGAGAAAAAAATGACTGCCTCTATGAAAATGATGATAGTTTAACAGAAATACAATATTTTGCATTATTACAGCAAATGAGAATGAAATTTTCTAACCAAAGAATTCTAATTCAGATAAATAGCTCAAAGGCACCAGGAAGATATTATTTACACATGTAAAGACATAAAAGGAACTGTACTAATGCAACTCTCACAGGAAAAGATTTTAGAGAAAAAAATTCTTCAAGCCATGTTCTTACCATAATCAATCAAAATCATGAGTTCAAGAATGGTGAAGTTGTGGTATAAAAATAATGGGGACAAACTCTAAAACTCTTAAACATCATTAAACTGACAGGAGCTCTGCTAATCAGTTATGATATCAGGCACATATCAAAAAGAAATCCTGAAAGAGAATATGAAAATGTAAAAAATTATTGTAAAAATATGAATCTGACAAAAAAAGACAAAAATCTTTACATAGTAGGAGGAAAAATGATTATTGATTGTATAAAGATTTCTTAACATTGCTGAATTACTTCAGCATGAATGATGAAAATGAACACAAAAGGAAATGTATTCATGAATATGTACTACAAACAAGAAAACAATGACAACAGCCTTAGAATCCATGCTGACCTGACTAAAGGATTTCTTTCATTACTCCTGTTTTAATAAATTCTATCTTTCTCAAAGATACGGCAGATGATCCAAAGACATTTTTAAAATTATTATCAGTTCATATATGTAATTCCACATAAGGATTGCTAATATATAAATAACATGAAAACACAAAAGTTTACATTTTTACTAATGAAGTTTTACGTACTTCATATTAAATTAGATAAATAACAAACAGGAAATTATAATCACAAAGTTTACCATTCAAACCCTAATACTGAAAGTACAAAAGAAGAAAAACTAACAAAAACCAAACCAAACTGCAGTACTAGTGGCTCACACCTATAATCCTACCTACTTAGGATACTGAGAGCAGGAGAATCGAAGTCCAACCTAGGCAGAAAAGTCCAAGAGACTCCATCTCCAAAATAACCAGCAAAAAACAAAGCTGAAGGCATGACTCCAGCTGTACAAAGTCAGTGGGTCAAGCAAAACCACACAAGTTTAAGGCCCTGTATTCAAAACCTTACACTGGCAAAAATAAATAAATAAAATAAACGAAGAAAAATTCCATTGGCTAATAAATAAGCAGCTAGCTAGGTACAATGTCATACACTTAGGAGGCTGACAACATGGATCAAGAATTTGAGTTAGGGCTTTCTAGAGAGTTTGATACCATTCTGAACTATATATAGCAAGACCCTCTCATCCAATGGAAAAAAAAAACCTAAAAAATGCTTCTATAAGAATTTATAACTTTATTTTTAGCACAATATTATTTTTGCCTTCATATTTATTCAAATTATTTTGTATTTTGCAATTTTCTACAATGTTACCTTGATAATATGCTTTAAAATGTTATTTACAAGTATATTTTAAAGAAAAAACAAAGGCCTAAGAAACTAAGACTAGTGGCAAAGAAACATCTTAAAATTTACCTAATAAAATAAAACCACTATAGAATCCTATATCAAATGAGCACATTAAATTAATTCTTGCCTTTAGAAAGCAGCTTTCTAAATTTCTGTGTTGCTGTTAGCTGTTGCTCAGCATTATTAGAAAAAATCATCTGAACCATATCTGCAGTAATAACTTCTTCCTAAAACACACAAAAAGAATTAACATAAAGTATTTTACATGAGTAATATTTGACGTATGTACTAGGTCTTAAGTATTACTGAGGTACAATTCCTACTGTATTTTTTATAAAGTATACCTCTGGAATGGGTACGGTGGAGCTGATATCTGGATCCTGGATAGGACTTTCTAGCATAGAATCATCACATCTAGGCAAAGAGACATTTCTGCGCTTGAACAGCTGCAACAGAGAAACCACTTTATAGACTTATCTTTCCGTTAAATATTCAATTGCCACAGAATTCCATTTTGCATCTGAGCAAGCAAAACAAAAATTTAGTAATCTAAAATATTAAATACAACCCCCTGTATAACTGATGCTAATAAAAATATTTATACAGTTTAAAGCCATTTAAGAGTATATATATATATATATATACATATATATATATATATATATATAACCACATTGGATTATACCTAAGAATTTTTAAACAAATCTGTCAGAGATAACACATAGTATATTAAAAATTAGAATATCCAAATAACAAGCAGTAAAGAAAAATTCTCAAGAAAAAGGACCACATACTTTTAAATTTAGGAGTACATTAAAATAATGTAGAAGAGAAGGACAGAGACATGGTGAAGTCACTAAAGGAAAATTATAAGAACATTTCCTAAATTAAAATTAAGATAAATCTGGCTATATTCTTCTTTGATAGCTAAATAAATACTATTTTTCTATCTGTATGTATTTCTTTGCTTTCTGATGAGGAGCTTAAACTCAGGACTTCACACTTGCTAGGTTGGGATGCTCCCACATGAGTCATGCCCAGGCCTTTTTGCTTTATTTTTCAGATAGGGCCTTGTGCTTTTTTGCCAAGGATCTCCCTGTCTCCTTTATAGTGGGTATTATGGTGGATCATCAACTTTGGTGGTCTCATTAACTTTCTCTTGTAGGTTAGTATTAAATCACGATCCTACTATCTCTACATCCCAAGTAGCTACAACTAAAAGTGTGTTGCCACTATTCTATAGTTTCTGGTAGAAGACATTTTATTATTTACTTTATTTTCAGTTATTATATAGTTTTATTCAAGACACTACAGATAAGGAGATAACAAATTAGATATACTTCTAAGACAGGGTTTTTTCTTTACTAGTCTTTAAAACACATCAGTTTTAACTTGTAGATGACACCATATCCTCTTCTTTTATTTATATTTCTAAATTTTAATACTGATTAGAATGAAGAATGTCAAGATTTGAGATACTCTTTCTTCTTTTTCTGGTGCTGGTACTAAGATTTGAACTCAGGGCCTGGGAGCCATTTGAGGTTTTTTTGGGTCCGGTCATGGGACCTGAACTCTGGGCCTGGGCGCTGCCCCTCAGCTCTTTAGCTCAAGGCTAGCGCTCTACCACTTGAGCCACAGCGCCACTTCCAGCTTTTTTCTTTTTGCTTATGTGCTGGTGAGGAATCAAACCCACGGCCTCAGGCATGCAAGGCAAGCGCTCTACCACTGAACCACCTTCCCAGCCCCACCATTCGAGTTTTTTGTACTAAGGGATCATGTTCTACCACTTGAGTCACAGCTCATTTTAAGCTTTTTTTTGTGATTTAATTGGAGATAAGTCTCATGGATTTTCTCGGCTGGGCTTCAAACTGACATCATCAGATCTCAACCTCCTGAGTACCTACAGATTACAGGCAAGAGCCAGCAGCACCCAGCAAGATATACTCTCTTAAGTGATTTTCTATTCCTTATAAAGTCACAAATGTAAAGAGGTTAAGAGACCTGGTGGGTGAGACTAGAGATAGAAGAAAATGAGTAACATGGGGAGACATCTATAATGAACTTGAGTTCTAGGAAAACCAAAAAATGAAAAATGAGTCAGGAATAAAAGTTTCTCAAAACTATTAGACACAATTGCATTCAGATTTACATTTCAAAATAAAACCTATTTCTGCTTAAGTTTTTGCAACAGAAACAAGAAGTCAGATTCACCAGACATTGGTGACTCACACCTGTAATCCAAGCTACTCAGGAAGCTGAGATCTAAGGATCACAGTATAAAGCCAGTCCAGGTAAGAAAGTCTGTGAAACTCTTATCTCCAATTAATCACCAGAAAACCAAAATGGAGTTGTGGCTCTAAGTGGCAGAGTACTAGCCTTAAACAAAAACAGCTTAGGAACAGGACTCAGGCCTGGAGTTCAAGCCCAAAGATGGACAAAAAAAAAAAACGCTATTGAGTATTCACATAGGAAATGCTGTTTGCTTTTAAAGGATGGTTTTCAGTAATATCTCTTTAACTTCTTTCTTTTAGTTAAAAGATAACAGTATCTTGATTCTGATCATCTTCTGGTTTTGATCATGGCAGCTTGTCAACAGAGTTTCGGGCCAAATGAATGTTCCAAGTCATCTCTGAAATTTGACAGGATAATAATTTTTAGTTCACTTTTTCCAAGCAGAGCCAACAACTGTCCACTCTGAGCAGAAAACAGCAATAGAAGATAGACCATCTGTTCTCTCTATCCCTTTTAAGATTAAAAGAAGCTAGACACTGATGGCTCACGTCTGTAATCCTAGCTACTCAGGAGCCTGAGATCTGAGGATCGAAGTTCAAAGCCAGCCCAGACAGGAAAGACCAGGAGACTCTTACCTCCAATTAACCACCAGAAAACTGGAAGTGGTACTGTGGCTCAAGTACACTACCCTTAAGCTGAAGACCTCAGAGACAGCACTCAGGCCCAGAGTTCAAGACCCATGACCAACCAAAAAAAAAGATTAAAAGGGACCAGTCATTTCACTTAAAGGGGCAATGAAAAGGGACAGATAGAGAAGGAAACAGAGAAGTTATTTTATTTTTACTTGACAAATATCAAGAGTCAGAATAAGAAGTTAAACCCAGCAAACAAACTGGAAAAGTAGATTAGTTACTTTTATCAGATCTCTTCTAATATTAAAGTATAAAACTGAAAATATGAGAAGGGCTATCTAAATCTGCCTAAATCTCCTATAGGAAGGAGTATCTAAATCTAATTTCTTACTGGACTTAGGTATCACACATTTGTAACTATAGCTACACAGACGGCTGAGATCTGAGAATCATAGTTTGAGGCCAGCTCAGGTAGACAATCTAAGTCTATTACCTTCAACTAACCAGCAAGGTAGGCTCAAGTGGTAGAGTACTACCTCGCCTTGAGAGGGGAAGTAAAAAGACAAAGCAACACATACCCAAATCTGCTTCCTTTGAAATGATAAAAATCTCAGAACTCCTTATAAATGGACAGAGATTGAATGAAAGGGAATACCTGGCAAAAGAAGCTTACCTATGCTTTGGGTAGGCTCCACCTATTTTATCGACTAAGAATTACAAGTTTGCCAGATGACATGACCTTGTAATATTCCCTCAAAAAGGTACAAGGTACATATAGAAGCCACCATTTTAAGTCTTAATTCACCTTTCTTGCCTGGGAGCAAGAAATGTTTCTCTCTTTTTTATTTCTCCCTATTTTAAGCCTATACTAAAATAAATCTTTGCTGAAACATTCTTAGCAGTGGGGTACAGACATAACATTAAAAAGTTCACTGATAAAACAGGAAAGTCATTCTCAGTGACAAATAGAAACTGTAATATTTACAAACATTATACCTAAAATTTAGTAATTAAACATTAGATTTAGTGGTAATCAATTTTCTAAATCACATTTCCATTCAAAATTATCTCAAACTTGGCAATAGTAAAATTTTAAACCTGAATACATTTGTGTTAAGTAAATTATTTTTAAATTCTACCTGTTCTTCCCTTTTTTGTTTTCGAAGTTGTATTCCTTCTTCTTCTCTTCGTCTACGCATCTCTTGAGGATTCAGAGCTTTATTCTTATAACTTTTCATCCTATAGTTATCTTTCCCTGGACTAGCCATGGAATCTTAAGAGAAGAAAACAGATAGTTCGCACACTGTAAGAGGCTTACGTTAAGGCCATTAAATTCAGGCATATTACACAGAACAAAATTTGTTCTGATACTTATGCGCAAAGAACACATTTTCTTGCCTATATCAAAATGAAACAGTAAGATCAATCCCCAGATACTAAAAGGGATAATTATTTTATATATTAAAAAAATTCCCCCAAATGGCTACTAAATATTCTAGACCTCTAAACGTTTTTGATCACATATCTGTATGTATGAAAGAGAGATCACATTTATCCTCAGTACTTATTTCTATACATGTGTTAATATCTTAATGTACTACCCCACCATTAAATTCACAATGAAATAGCATTTTTAAAAAAGAATAATTTTAAAAGGAAAACTACTAATATTTTCTGACCACGTTTGATCATACCACTTTGGGCCTACTCCATCACACAGGTACATTTAGAAACCACTTCTGCAACTGTTAACCTATTTGGCCAAACTAAACCATTTCAACAGGTACATTTCAATATAAATTTGTCTTCCAAATAAAATATAGCCCCAACATTGCATATGTCATGTTATTCTTTCTTCGCTGTCTTCATTTTCACAGTGCTGCTTTAAAAAGGATGTCAAGGCCAAGGAAAAATCTCTAAAGATGCTTCCTCACCCAATGAAACTGTTTCCTGGAAATAAAATATTTGGACTGTCTTTCTTCATCGGCTGGGATTTCATAAAAATACTTATTTTTATTGCTGTTGGTACTAACATTTTGAACTCAGGATCTCAAACACACTGGGCCAGCTTGATGGCTAGGACCTGCACTCTACCTCTTGCGCCACACCTCCAGTCCAAGTTTTCTTTTTCTGAAATTTACAACCTGGATTTCTGAAGCCAGGTCTATATGTTTGGATGCTTAGTTAGAATATCACAAGATTCTATGAGGGATTGCAGACTGGGCGCACTTACAACAAGCAGTACTTAGGTCTGAAGGACAGGACAGGTGTCTGCTCCTGGCTTACTTATTCTCCTTCCTGCAAAATATGACTCATTATGAAGCATCGAAATAGAGAGGCAAGTTATAAATCCTTCTGTCTCTCGTGTGTGTGTGTGTGTGTGTGTGTGTGTGTGTGTGTCCGCGCCCCAAAAAGCTCAAGAGTAAAATTTCCCTGCTGGCGTTCTGAAGTATCATGGTGCAATCGCACAGCTTTCCAATCTTCCCATTTCTTCGGCGTGATCCAGGAAACGCAATGAAATGTTCTCGCGGCAGCAGGGGTCGGCTGGCAGGGGCAGGTGGGGGTGAGGCACAGAGGGTCCCCAGGATCACCGGTCTCGTCGTGAGGTTAGGGTTGGCACGTCCACAACAGATGGACGTCTGGGCCCCACCAGGTATGGGAGACAAGCGCCGGGGGCCGGCTGGCCGGCCGGGCGGGCGGACCCGGCGGGGCGGACCCGGCGGGGGTGACCCGTGGCCGCGGCCCCGCCGACCCGGCTCCGGGGCCCCCAGCACGACAGCCCCGCGCCGGTCAGCGACGGCGTCACCGCGCCGCGGTCGCCGCGCCCGGCGGTGCGGCTGCCACGCCCCCCGCCCCCCCCATGCCGCTGTCCGCCGGGGACCCAGCTGCAAACCCGGTGGTCCCGCTAACTACCGCCCCCCGCCGGAGAGTCCAAGCGCTAGAATCCCCCCAACCGGGCCTACGTCACCCCACTTACCCATGGGAGTGGAACTCTCCGGCACCCTGACCTGCGGGTCCCCGGCGGCGACGTCCGCGGCGGATAGCCGAACGATAGGCACTGCTCCCTCAGAGCCCCCGAGCGCAGCCCAAGATGGCGGCCACCTGCGCCCCTTCCCCGAGACCCCGCCGCTCGCTTCCCAGAAGCCCTTGCTATCCGCGGCGGCCGCGGCGGTGGAGGCGGCAGGGGGCGTGGCTATAGGAGGGGAGGCGTGGCTCCGATTGTGGGCGGGGCGGAGAAAAGCGCGCTGTGTGTGCAGACCTCTGCTACCCCTTAGCTCTTCTCTCACTTCTTCAGTTTCTCATTCCCAGTGGCGAGACCGTCACGGATCCACTGCGTACCCACAAGGAATGAGTTCTCATCGGGTCACCAATTCATCCATCTGTCTGTCCGTCTTACAGTGCAGTGCTGATTGAGAAGACTAATCTTTGACTCGCACCTTTTTGGAGAGGGGGGAATCCAACAGTCCAAGAAACCTGGTAAAAATTTCTGGTGGAGTGTGAATGGCTTGGTTTTGGTTGACCTCTCAGGTGATTACTGCTCATTCTAGCTTCCAGAATTTGTAAGCACTCGTTAGTTGTTTATTTTTCTTTCTTTCTTTCTTTCTTTATTGGGTCCGGTCGTGGGGCCTGAACTCTGGGCCTGGGCGCTGTCCCTCAGCTCTTCAGCTCAAGGCCAGCGCTCTCCTACTTGAGTCACAGCGCCACTTCCGGCTTTTTTCTTTTTGCTTATGTGGTGCTGAGGAATCGAACCCAGGGCCTCAGGCATGCAAGGCAAGCGCTCTACCACTGAGCCACCTTCCCAGCCCTATTTTTGTTCTTATACTGTTATTTTAGTAGATTGTTGAGAAGCAAAGAAATACAAATGTCCTGTTCAGTGTTCCATATTTAACCATAAACCCACAGAATAATTTGCTGTTATTGAAACAGGGTCTTGACCTATGACTCAGGTCAACCTGGAACTTATGATCAAACAGTCCTGCCTCAGTCTCCTGACAGCTGGTATTAAAAGTATGAGCTACCCTATCTGGCACCCTGCAGAATAATTTTTTAAAACCTTATATTGCGCATACATCAGATCATGCCATTCTTCTGTTTAGATATTCAGTAGTATTCTAGAAGGTCCTAGGTGATTTGACTAGTGTCTGTAACTCTGACCTAATTTTATAATCACTCTTCCCCTTCTCCCTAATATTATATTCTGTTGACTACTTGTTCTTTTTTGAGTCATCTAAGTCTGCCTTCCTATTGTTTTAGCTAAATGAAATGTTGGTGCAAGATTTATTCATCAGCTCCTTTACCTCCACAATAAGACTTTTTCTAATAACGCTAGTATATCTTTAACTCCGTTTTGCTTTATAGCTTTTTTTTTTTTTTTTTTTTTGGCGGTCGTGGGGCCTGAACTCTGGGCCTGGGCACTGTCCTCAGCTCAAAGCTCAAAGCTAGGTCCCCACCACTTGAGCTACAGCGCCACTTCCGGCTTATTTCTGCTTATGTGTACTGAAGAATCGACCTCAGGGCCTCATGGTAAGGCAAGCACTCTACCACTGAGTCATCTTCCCAGACTTTTATCACTAGTTTCTTTCCACTATCTCACAAGAATGTAAGCTTCAAAAGCCCTGTATTTTGGTTACTATCGCATCTCCAGTGCCAAGCATAATGGTTCTTTTGGGCGATCTTTATTGTTGAATAAATAACAACTGGGAGAGAAATATAAATATGTACATATGATCTTGTAACCTTGAAAAAAATGACTTGTCTTAGTTATTTTGAATCTATAGAACTTAATTTGGGCTTGACATGTTGTAGTTATATAACTCCTCTACCAATACAAAGAATAGCCTGTAACTCAACCAAGCTATAAATAAAGAACTATAGATACATTTGCCCTAGCATCGGGCCTTATGAAGTTTCTCAGACCTTAACATGTTCTGGATCTGAGCCGGGCACTGGTGGCTCACGCCTGTAATCCTAGCTACTTAGGAGGCTGAGGTCTGAGGATCACGGTTCAAAGCCAGCCTGGACAGGAAAGTCCTTGAGACTCATCTCCAGTTACCATCAGAAAGCCAGAAGTGGTGCTGTGGCTGTGGTAAAGCGGTAGTCTTGAGCTCTGGTTCAAGCCCCAGGACCAGCAACAAAATAAAAATAAAACAAAATTCTGGGTCTAGTTTGTCTAGTAGTAAACCGGGAGGGAAAAGAAGGGGGAGGGGGGGAAGCGCGAAAGAGATGAATAAAAAGACTACAACTCCCAGAATGCACTACAGACCCGCGTGGAGCAGGGCATGCTGGGATTCCTTTCCTTCGAGGGCTGGAAGTGCTTTGTGTTTTTGAGTCTTCGTTTCATTTCGCGGTCAGCTGTATTTTGAGTGCGTGACGGTCAGGAGAGAGGCTGGGCGCCACGCTCGGACTCCTCTGCCTACGAGGCCGCGGCGATTGCGGCGGCGGGACCCGGAGCGGGTGGAGTGAAGCACGGTGTCGGAGCCGCTGGGTTTCCGGGTGGGTGGACGCCGACGGTGGCGTCTTGGTTCCCGGGCTTCGAGCTCCGGCTCAGGGACGCGTCTGAACTGTCTCTCGTGTCCTCGCTCGGGACGTTGGGGCCCACTCGGGACGTTGGGGCCTACCCAGGCCCGGCTGCGCGCCTTCCGGCCCTCCCCACCCCCTCCGGGCCCCGCACCTGCTACCGGCCTAGGCCGACTTCCCTCTCGCTGCGGAGGCCCTCGGGGTCTGGAGGTCTCCTCTCCGAGAAGACACTGGGGAGTCGAGACACCGTCCTTGTAGAAGTAGAAACTAGTTTTTACCTGTCTGGAGAGAAAGGAGGAGCAGAAGGACAGCAATGTAGGGAGGTTTTGTAAAGCTAATTTTCTGTAAACGGAGGGAACAACGTTCTCTGTTCTTGGGTGGGGTTTTTTTTCCCCAAAGTACTTAGCTGAACGGTGTAGGAGAGTGGTGGTTGTGATTGCTTCTCTTGTTGGTTTTTCACCTTCATGTGAGTAGTGAGACTTAACTAGCCCCTAAAGTCTACAAGAGATTGGCCAATCTAATGTAACCCATTTTGTAGACTGACACTGGAAGAGATGAGAAAGCCAGAGTGATAGAACCTGAGGCCCGAAGTCGGTTATCTAGGCTAGGAAGTGCTGTTTCCTACTATTGGTGTGCTTTCGGCTGAGAGTACAAGCTGTGGAGCAGACTGTACTAGCACTTTGAATACCACCATTTTCTGAGATCTATTAGCGCCAGGGTTTCCTTATGTGTGGACTGATAGAGTAGTATTTATTAAACGTAAAGCTGTTGAAGTGTTATTAGTGTTGATTCTCACATTAGGACATGTTTATACTCCCTCACAATTAATAAGTTTTAAAGTATTTTATGCGACTTAGTAGCTGGACATGTATTTTTTTTTAATCTAGCTATCTTACACTTTGGGGGAGGGGGGGGGTTGAATCTAAGGACCCAAGTTTGCTTCTCTTCTGTAGTTGAGCCCAATTACCTCTCTACCACTTGAGCTGTGCCTCGAGCCCTGCTTTTTGCTGGAAACAGAGAAGTCTAGCAGACTTTTCTGTCCAGGCTGGCCTTGAACTGTAAACTTATGAATCTCAACCTCTTGATTATAGGCATGAGACTGGCTGGATAGCTTTTTAAACATAATTCTTCCTTATTTTTAAATATTTAATCCTTTATTTTGTTTTATTGCTTGTACTGAATTCTTGAAATTATAAATTGGACATGAGGTACAGGTTAAGTGTTCCTTATTTAAAATGCACAGCATCAGAAATATTTCTAATTTTTGAATTTTTTTTACAATTTTGGAGTGCTTACGAATGCATAATAAGATGTTTTGGGGATGAGACAACTCTAAACACAAAGTTCACTTTGGTGTCATATGTAGTGCACATAGCCCAAAGGTGAATTTATACACTGTTTTCAGTATGCCTGTGTTTTGACTGCCACCTTTTACCCGAGGTCAGATACTGAATTTTCTAGTTGTGGCATGTCAACCCTTAAAATGTTTCAAATTTTGAGAAGTGCAGATGTGGCTCAGATGGTAGAGCTCCAACTTTGAGCAAAAAATTTAAGAGAGAGCAAGGCCCTGAGTGTAAGCCCCAGGACCAGCATCAAAAACACAAAACAAAGATGTTCAAATTTTGAAGCATTTGGAGTATGAGTTTTTTATCATTCTGATGAAATTTTGTTTGAGATTTATAAAGTTGTATATTTTGGAACAGTAAATACACTGGAAATTTTTCCATTAAAATACAACAGTACCAAAGAATTGTCATATCATTTTGTGAAATGTATTTTCCTTTAAATCCTGGCTTTGAAACTTAAAAATGATATTGTGTTCTTTTCTAGCTACCATGCTTTGCTGTGATATTTGTGGTGAAACAGTAGCTTCAGAACCTGATATGAAGACTCACCTCCTAATTGTTCACATGGAAAATGAAATTACTTGTCCATTTTGCAAGTTGTCGGGGGTAAATTATGATGAGATATGTTTTCATATTGAAACAGCTCATTTTGAGCAGAATACAGTAGAAGGAAATTTTGAGAGGACAGACACAACACAGTTTGGGATTTCAGATAACAAGGACAATACCCTACAGAGTACTGGGGAAGTTAATTCAAGTGATCGTTCGGCATGTGCGTCTAACCATCCAAAAAGTTCAGCTCAAAGCCTGCCTAAAGATGTTCCTTTTAAACAGGAAGCCTTTTACTCAGAAAACTTAACAGAATCTAGAAAAATGCTGAAAAGCAGGGAAAAGCAGTCTGGATTGTCTGAAATAAAAGGATCAACTTATGAAGCAGTGTATAGTCTTCCTGACTGTCCATTTTGTGGCAAAGTAGAGGCATGTAGTGACGATATGGAAATCCACATGAAAACAAAACATGCCAATGTTTTGGAAGGTTGAGTATTTATTATAAATAATTATAACTAACAGTCTCCTTAGAGTGTGGTCTCCTAGAAGTTGTGTTTTTTTTTTAAGTCAGATGGCTGTAAATATGCTTTAAAATCCAGCTCATGTCCATAACATTGCTTATTTGCAATTACTGCAATATAAAAATACAATTATGAAAAAAATATTGATGCAGATACAAAATGTTTTAACTACATTTAAAATAATTGCAGAAATGTCCTAATTTTCAGA